ATTGTACCAATTTTTTGGATGAATTTGTTCAGTGGAGGTTTGTCCTTGCCTTCCTCTGAGGTTAAGAGAGTATGACTTGACCATAGATACTCAGTGGGTTTCCATGGACAAGAGGGGATTTGAATTCTGGTCTCTCAGTGCCCTCGTCCACACTTGTTCTCACTAGGTTGGCTACTGAAGGGAAAGACGTAACTTTGGCTATAATTACTTATTCCTTTGTTAAGATAATAAAGGAAAATGGGGGTTATCTGATTCCCCAAATTTACTAAGAAGATTCAGTCTTTCAAGAAATAGCTTTCTAAGATCTACAGAGATACTTGCAGGAACACCTCAGCAAGTGAGAGCCCAAAAGTGGCAGACTAAAACACCGAACCTCAAGCCATGGCTGATATCAAATGAGAGACTCCCCCCTGGGCACACAGAAAACTGGGTGACTTGGAAGTGCTGAACAGATTGCGCTCTGGCACCACCAGATACAGAGCCAACCTTAAGAAATGGGGCCACAAAGTGGAGTCCACGACATGCGAGTGTGAAGAAGAGCAAACCACAGACCACCTATTACAATGCAGTCTGAGCCCTGCCACATGCACAATGGAGGACCTTCTTAAAGCAACACCAGAAGCATTCTGAGTGGCCAGCTACTGGTCAAAGGACATTTAATATAATGCCAAGTTTTTAAACTTTGTGTTTTTAAATACATTGCAACTGTACCCTTGGTTTGCTTCTGATATGATAAATAAATAAAATAGCCTTTGCATCATAAGAAATCTCTGCATCAGCAAATACTTGCAATATGACTTATCCCCACTATGTGGTAAACCAGGCATGGGCAAACTTTGACCCTCCAGGTGTTTTGGACTTCAGCTCCAAAACACCTGGAGGGCCAAAGTTTGCCCATTCTGGTATAAACTATGATGTCTTCATGACACATTCCCAAATTTTGTCAGAGTGACAAAAGCCTAAATCCTACTGAGTTGTCATTAGAGTATAACCATTGATTCAATGAGATTTACTTATGCGCTGACTCACCCTTCAAAAATTGATTCTGAGGGTCTATTATAATTCGGTTTAACCAAAAAGATACCAGAGGAAGGGAATCACACAATAATGTCCCTTTAAAAATAATTAGTCTTCTGGCACTTGCCTCAAGCAGACAGAGTTCTTTCTCCCACCCAGTGATTCTGACCATGAAAGCCTTCGGGCAACACATATGCCAAACAGTTTTGTGATGTTGGCAATTACTCTATAACTATAATCCATTTAATAACTCCATGTAATGAAACTCAAGTTTGAAAATAGATCTGAGATGGTTAATAGATAACACTCAAAGTCATTCTTATTTCTAATACCATGCATTCACATTTCTCTCTATCTCTCTCTCTCTCTCTCTCTCTGCATACAAATTGTGTGGTTGCAAAATGACTTTTAGTCCTAGAAATTTGGTGACAGCAATAATAAAAAGTATTTTGATCCAAGGTATTTGCAAATGCTGTTCAATTAGTCAAAGACGTGTAAGCGTAATGTTATAAACATTTAAAACAAAACAATAAAACATTAAATCAACTCTTTTCTTATAACTGTCAAATATAGATCCCTGCATTGTTCAAGCCACTTAATTTGAGATAAAGCAAAATGGAGCCTTCTTGTTGACTGAATCATAAGCACTGGAAATACATTCTGGGGTCCCTTCTACACAGCTGAATAAAAACTCACATTTTATGCTTTGAACTGGGATATATGGCAGTGTGGACGCAGATAATCCAAATCAAAGCAGATCTTGCAGGATTTTCTGCCTTGATATTCTGGGTTATATGACTGTGTGGACAGGCCTTGGTCTGTTACTGAGGGCCCATTCAGACGGTACCATTATCCCAGGAGTTTCTGCAGCAAACAGGAGGGTGGCCAGACCCCGTCCCCTGTAAACGCGAAAGCAACTGATACAAAAGGGAAAAAAACATGAGATTTCCAGATGGAGGAATATTGCAGTTTTAAGCTGAATATGCGGACCTTTGCATGTCTGTATGACTCTGCCATCAGAAATACGGGGTTTTTTTTATCTGAGTCTGTTCCCGGGTTTTAGATGTTTGTTCCTGATTGGTCGGTTCCTATATAAAGGTGACACGAGAGTAAAAGGCAAAAACTTTGTTTGCGTGCCAGAAACTTCATGAAAAGTGTGGAGGGCACATTTTCCGTGGCCAGGACAAAGTTGTGGCCCTCTAGTCAATGCTGTACATCTTTCACAAGAAGAGCAATCAGGAACAGCCATGTATAACCCAGGATGATGCCACAAGTACACAACCAAATCTGTCTGGACAGATGGCCAGGCAGCCAGGTTCTAAAAAGCATCAATGATGACAAAGTTCTGTTGCTAGCTTGAAAGTGTGTGTTCTTGTTTGATTGTGCAGTGCTGACTTGGGCAGCAGTGGTCCTACCCCATAAACTTTGTTTGTGTGGCATATACTTCATGCAACATCTGGAGGGCACAGTTTCTCTGGCCAGGAAAAACAGAACTTTTGCAGGGATTCACATGTCTGAATCTCCGCATATCCGCATACCCACATATTGAGGGTTTTTGGGTTTTTTTAAGCCAAAGTTTCTGGCAGAAGTCCCATGGCAGCCATCTTGGGAGCCTCTACATCTCACAACAAAGCATCTTGTCTAGACAACGGAGGCAGAAATCCTGGGACCAACAGGTTTGTATGTGGACCTCTTCTGAAGTCCCGGGATGTTTTGCCTCTGTTTAAAACCTGTGACTTAGTGCTGTCTGGAAGCGTCTTGTAATAGTACCATGCATGCAATGTTGTTCTATCAAACACCACAATCTAAGGCCTTCCAGATATTTTTGGATACAATCCAAAACCAGAGGCCATCCTGGCTGTGACTGATGAGAATCCTAAAACATCTGAAAAACTGTATAATACCCAGCCATTCTATAAAAGGGTTTTCAAATGTAAGTCCTACTAAGTCCAATTTAAATAACTCAGAAGAATGCAGAATACATGCATACATATCAAACACTAGAAAATATGGAGCATTGCTCTACTCCTCGCAACAAATAACCAGTGCTATACACATATAGACCTTATTTTCCAGGGAAATAGGTTAAGATTTTCACTTTAATTGGTTTATGCATTATTTATTTATTTATTTACCACATGTGTACCCTGCCCTTCTCACCCTGAAGGGGACTCAGAGTGGCCTCATAAAAGACAACAATTCAATGCCATCCAGTTACATATCAATAAAATAAACAAATACATTAAGAACCAAACTTTTGAAAACATCAACATTAAAACATCATTAAAATCACACAATCACAAATCATTATCCAAGGCTGTTCCATTTGCCATTGTATTACTTTCATAATCACTTATTGCACTGCTCAATACTAGCTAAAAGCTTGGTCCCACAACCAAGTTTTTAGTTTTTTTTCCTGAAGGTTAGGAGTGAGTGGGCAGATCTGATTTTGCTGGGGAAGGAGTTCCATAGATGAGGAGCCACCACTGAGAAGGCCCTGTCTCTCTTCCCCACCAGTCATGCCTGCAAAGGAGGTGGGATTGAGAGCAGGGCCTCCCAAGATAATCTTAACCACCAAGGTGGATCATAGGGGGAGATACGTTTGGACAGGTAAGCTGGGCCAGAACCATTTAGAGCAGTGGTTCTCAACCTGTGGGTCTACAACTCCCAGAAATCCCAGTCAGTTTACCAGCTGTTAGTATTTCTGGGGGTTGAAGGCCAAAATATCTGGGGACCCACTGGTTTAGGAGTTTATAGGCTAAAGCCAGCACTTTGAATTGTGCTCGGTAGCAGACTGGCAGTCAGTGGAGCTGATGCAACAGGGGGTTGTATGCTCTCTGTACACCACTTCAATCAGCAATATGGCTAAGAGTTTACTAATCCTAGTTTCGCTTGAATGAAAGTAAACTTATAGAAATCATAGGCCTTATTTTTTATTAAATATGCTTGAACTGGAGAAAGTCCCACAGACCTTGTAAGAGGTTATATCTGAGCAACCATGCACACGTAGGCTGAAGAGAACAGCAATATCAGTTGTTTAACTGGTTTAAACTGAATAATATTAAATGAAGATCTCACCCAATCCTCAAGCCTAGGTTTGAAGCTTAGGTTCATAGAAATCTATCTCAGTATACTGAGAAAAAAAGTACCCAGATTAACATTTTAATTTTCCAGTGGGATTTGACTACTATTTTAATAAAGAATCGGACGTCCTTGAACACTTGAATGATAAGAAAGGGTCAAATCTACAAAGGAGATATCCCTTTAGAATAAGATCACCAGCAAATTGCTTTGAAAGGTTGTTCTTAATGTACGGATGCAATTAAAAAAATTCAGTCCACTGGAAAAAAAATACGAAGTGCTAGAAGCACCAAATAACCTTGAATGGCTGCGAGATTAGATGTGCTTGGTTTGCATACATTTGTTGCAAGAAGCCAAGAATGTCTTACTTACTGGTTATGATTTTTTATTTCTTTCATTTTAAGGTAAGCCTTTCTGGGAGAAAGATAATAATGGAAGGCAGGCCTTCATTCTACAGTTGTAGCATAACAACAACTCAAAATTTATATGAGCGCCTCAATCCTCATTGCTCTGGAGTTCTTTCTTTAGTTTCTCTTCATTTCCCAACCCCTTTGTTCTTGCAAATTTGTATAGTGCCAAAATATGCCCAATGGCAGATGACAAAGCAAAATACAACCTTATTTCAGTACTTATTGGATAACAGGTCCTTTCACCTCTAGATTACTATGATTAATAGCTATATCTAGCAAACTGCCCTATTTGATAATATTAAGGTAAAGCATGAAATAATGAACACCTTAGTTGACAAGAACATAATGCTGGTGGATATCAATATATATAATTATTTAAACACATTAAAATCATAACATTTCAAGGGAAATCTTTTTTAAAATAGTGGTAAGTGCTTAAAAAGAAGAAGAAAAAAAAGTGATTTGTACAATGATAAGAAAATTCCTTCTGACCTTGAGATTTCGGGCTAAATAAATTACCTCGGAGCGAAAGTGATGGGTTCTCATTGCAGCGTCTGGAAATAAAAGGGAAAAGGAAACATGAGACAAGGTTTTGCTTCCATATCAGCAAGTTCTACAGAAATGTTTGCTAGGTGCATTGTTGTGTTTACTGCTGAGAATTTAAAAGAACAAGAGGCACCCAAAGTCATCTAATCATTGGAGACACCAGTGGCGCAATGGGTTAAACCCTTGTGCTGGCAGGACTGCTGACCAAAAGGACGGCGGTTCAAATCTAGAGAGCGGGATGAGCTCCTGTCTGTCAGCTCCAGCTTCCCATACGGGGACATGAGAAAAGCCTCCCACAGGATGGTAAAACATCCAGGCATCCCCTGCGCAATATCCTTGCAGACAGCCAGTTCTCTCACACCAGAAGCTACTTACAGTTTCTCAAGTCGCTTGTCCCCTGGGCAACGTTCTTGAAGACGGCCAATTCTCTCAAACCCAGTTCAGAAGCGACTTGCAGTTTCTCAAGTCGCTCCTGACACAAAAAAAAAAAAATCCAATCATCAACCACACTGCTCAGGACTATGGTTTTGAGTACATCTACATTGCAGAATGAATGCAGTTTCACACCACTCTAAAGCCATAGAATTCTTGTAGTTTGGTGAGGCACCAGTACTCTTTTGCAGAAGAGACTCAGGTCACTTCCACACAGCCATATAACCCAGAATATCAAGGCAGAAAATCCCACAATATTTGCTTTGAACTGGGTTATTTCGGTCCACGCTGCCATATATCCCAGTTGACGTGATGTGCATTATTGAGGAGCCTCTAAGCCATTGGGAGAAATGGTGGACTGAAATCACTGAATTCGGTGAAGTCGCGGGTCTAAAGATAAATAAAGATAAAACCAAATTCTTAGTTAAAAACATGTCAAGGGAAAGGAAGGAGGAATTGAGGGGAAAGACGGGGGTGGAGATTGCAGCAAAGGTCAAATACCTGGGGATACAAATAACTACCAGTAATGCCCAATTAGTAAAAAATAATTACGAGAATAAATGGAAAATTCTAAAAGAAAAAATGAGATATTGGTCAAGACTGAATCTATCCCTTTTGGGTAGAGTCGCAGTGGCAAAAATGAATATCCTTGCGGAAGTACTGTACCTGTTCCGAATGATTCCAGTKGTYAAGTCAACAAAAATGATAACARACTGGCAAAAGGAACTGAATAGATTCATATGGCAAAATAAGAAGGCCAGAATCAAATTCAGGAACCTTAGCGACGAGCCTAGAAGGGGAGGCCTGGGACTCCCGGACCTCCTRCTTTATTATGAAGCAGCATCATTGGCATGGATCCGGGAGTGGGCAACGYTAAATGATGAAARYCTATTGGCCTTGGAAGGTGAAGACCTGGCCAAAGGATGGCACGCCTACCTTTGGAAAGGGAAAACTCCAAAAGAACGGAATTTTAATAACCATCCGCTCAGAGCATCGTTGCTAAAAACCTGGAAAAAATATAAGGAGCGATGGTATACAAGAACCCCACTGTGGATAGCTCCAAACGAGGCAGAACAGCGGAGAGAAACACCAAATGAAAAATGGCTGACCTACAGACAGTTAACGAAGATTGACAATCAGGTGATTAAATTAAAATCACTCGAAGAAATAAGACAACTACACCCTAAATTTTCCTGGTTTCAATACTGGCAGGTTAGCGAAAACTTCAAAGAAGACAAAAGAATAGGGTTCGAAACAAAAGACAAAATATGGGACAAGATATTAAGAACGGAGAGAAAGACGATCAAAGGTCTTTATCAACAACTGCTAGCATGGGCTACCGAAGAAGAACAGGTCAAGGAAGTCATGGTGAAATGGGCTAAGATGATCGGGAGAACAATTACCATGTCAGAGTGGGAGGAAATTTGGAATAAAAAACTTAAATACGCATATGCCACCGAAATCAAAGAGAACTGGATCAAAATGTTCTACCTTTGGTACCAGACCCCAGAGAAAATAGCTAAATACAGCAAAGGAAAATCGGATAAGAACTGCTGGAGATGCCAAAGGAAAAAAGGAACTTTTAGCCACATGTGGTGGGAGTGCAAGAAGGTCAAGAAACTCTGGAGGCTGATACACCAAAAAATCAAAGATATATTAGAAATTGAAATAGATTTTAGACCCGAACTATTTCTACTAGGAATGAATGCCCAGGGTATGAATAGAAACGACGAGAAAATCCTTTTTTACCTGACCACCGCGGCCAGAATTTGCATAGCCAAAACATGGAAAGGCAAAGAAACAGCAACGCTCAATTCATGGATCATCAAAGCCACAGAGATTATGAATATGGATCTGCTAACCCAGTTACTAAGGAAAAATGGAAAAACAAACAATAAAACGGATTGGAGTAAATTCATAACCTTCTTAAAAAAAACCAGTATAAAGTACTAGTAGAATACAGAGTAAAACTTACACACGGGGGATCTCCAAATCAGTTTAATGAAAGACCTCTAGAATCATTAAGATTAGAGAAATTAAAAAATAAAAGAAAATCCTTACAATTAGCCAGTAACAACTGGACAATGTGTGCTTAGGCATCCCTGGAAGTCAGCAAGAATTTGTGTGTTAGCTGTTGGTATGTGCCCTGTGCTTTCGTGAGTGGATGGGGGGAGGGGGGGAGAGAAGCTCTAGGGGGGGGGGCAGTAGTAAACAATCTTTTTTAAGGGGTATTTGTATAGTTGAAGTATATGTTGTCTATGTATGTCTAAACATGTCTTTTTTATAATGGAAAATTAATAAAGACTATAATAAAAAAAAAAGGCAGAAAATCCCACAATATTTGCTTTGAACTGGGTTATTTCGGTCCACGCTGCCATATATCCCAGTTGAAAGCAGAAAACTTGTAAAAGTGCAAGTCTCATACTTTTATAGCATTGAGCCATGGCAGTTAAAGTGGTATTAAACTGCATCTATTCTACAGCGTAGGTGCACCCTTCCTTGATTAAATCTATCTGCAATGTGGTCCCACTGCCTTCAACCATACCAAATCTTTTCTAGTAGGTCATGCATTCTCATGATACTGTTGAACTATGACAGCTTCAGTTTAGTCATCTTGGCTTCTAGGTAAAGTTAAGGCCTCATTTGTTCCATTTACAGTATATACTAGACTCATTTACCATATATACTACAGTATTTGCAGAGTTTTTCAGACCTTTTTAAGGCTGAAAAGCCCCCCTCGGCTTATATTTGAGTCAAGGTTATGTATTATATTACTTTATTTTTATTACATTTTATTACATTTATTAGTTTATTTTATTACGTTTACATTATTTTACTCTATTATTATTTTATTAAATGTATTATAATACTCTATTATTGTTATTACATTTATTATTTTACTCTATTATTACCATCATTATTACATTTCTGTTATTTTGTTCTATTATTATTTTTATTACATTTATTATTTTACTCTCTCTACTATTATTGGAATATATTATTATTGGAAAGATATGTAAGCACACTGACATTGAAGAAGGTTAGAATAATGTTTAAATCAGAGTTGGACAGTCTTATCTTAAATTACAGTTTTATGCAAATTTTCAAAAATATTTAACCTGATGCCTCAGTTAGTGTAAATGTATTGGTATCTATTTTTATTTTGAAATTTTCAAGTAACTGCTGCAGTTCCTAACCTCGGCTTATACTCAAGTCAATACGTTTTTCCAATTTTTTTGTGCTAAAATTAGGTGCCTCCGTTTGTATTTGGGTCAACTTATGCTCAAATATATATGGTTTTTGTCTTTTGAGCTGTACACAGTATCCACAAAACTCTTCTCCAGCATCGAATGTCATCTGAGATAATCTCAGATTTAATCTCAGAAGAAAACTGGACAGCTTTCTTCATTGTCCAGTTTTCACAACCACATAGAAAAAGGGGAACTTTCATGAATCATCCTAACATGAATGTCCAGTGATGCATTCATTCTCTTCCTCTTTACTTTCTTCCCTTGCCAGTTTTCACAACCATACAAAGAAATGGGAAATGTCATGAACCACCCCAACTTTCGCGTTCAATTATATATCCTTGTACTAGTTCCTTGACAGCTGATCCAAAGACAAGTCCAAGCATTCTACGTACATATTAATAATAATAATAATAATAATAATACATCTCCCCAAGGGACTCGGTGCGGCTTACATGAGGCCGAGCCCACAATACAACAGTAAAAACAATAACAGTAATACAAAACAATAAATAAAACTCATAAGCAGAAGTAAGCAATAAACATTAACAATAACACGACGACGATTAAAAACCAATGGCTGTCTACCAGGCTCTCAGTTAACCAGCACCCATGGGGATTGGTAGATGCCATACAAATGTGGTTTCTGATTGCTTGAGAGTTATTATGAAAACAGGCCTAACTAATACTATACCCCATACTATACCATAAACTCTGTATTGACTTGATATTGACATTGAAATAAAAGAACACATGGACCAGTTTTACTGTTTTACTGTATTATTTTATTTCAAGTATTATTTCTTTGGGGCTTTATTTTTGGCCATTTGATAGAGTCCTGGTTAACTGAGAGTCTACTGTATGTAGTATCATCCCTCATGGAGAAGTTGATGTTAGTTTTAATTGGCAGGACTGCCTAGGGAAAAAGTTTTCTCAATATTGATGTCTGTGTTTTTATTTTTCTATTTTCAATTTGTTGGGAGCTAAGTTTTGAAAATGTAATAAAATAAAAATTAATTAAAAAGAAGAAGTTGATGGGAAAGTTATACTGAAGTTGACCAGTTTGGGGAAAAGTATTCTTTGGCTTCAGGAGGCGGACTTAGTGCTGCAGTCTCAGGCCCCTTCCACACAGCTGAATAAAATCCCACATTATCTGCTTTGAACTGGGATATATGGCAGTGTGGACTCGGATATCCCAGTTCAAAGCAGATATTGTGGGATTTTCCACCTTGATCTTCTGGGTTATATATAGGGTTGTGTGGAAGGGCCCACAGCTTTTCGACATCCAGAGCCATCCAGAGCCAAGTCTTCCTGTTTACTAACGCTGTCCTCTACCTTAACCATGCTCTCTATCTACCCTGCCATTGAGATCTTGGCCCCTTCCACATCTATATAAATAAAAATGTAATGTTCATTTGTGGGATTAACATAACTCAAAAACCACTGGATGAATTGACACCAAATTTGGACACAAGACACCTCTCAGGCCGACGAGTGACCATCACGCATAAAAACACTGGAAAACACAGCGGAAGATACTTAGAAAGCAAAAATAAAAATAAAAAATACATTACAACGCATGCACAAAACCACACACACATATATACACATATACACAAATATATATATACACACAAAGCACATATACACAGAGTGGGCCACAGCAACGAATAGAATCCCACATTTTCTGCTTTGAACTGAATATATTGCAGTGTGGACTAGGGGCCCTTCCACACAGCCATATAACCCTCAATATCAAGGCAGAAAATCCCACAAGATCTGTTTTGAATTGAGTTATCTGAGTCCACACTGCCATACATCCCAGTTCAAAGCAGATAATGTGGAATTTTATTCAATTGTGTGGAAAAGGCCTCTGATAACCCAGTTCAAAACAGATATTGTGGGATTTTCTGCCTTGATAATCTGGGTTATATGGCTGTGTGGAAAGGCCCCTAGAGTTCCTAGGAACCTTTGGTTGAGAGGCCCAGATCCAGAGGGTTATTTTATCTATTTCGTATCAAAAGCATTGCATAAATTAGTATAAAACTGATAAAAATAGAAGGAACACAGGCAGTTAAATATATTTTGACCAAAAACAGGCAACAGCAATGGCATTGTCTGTAGCCTCCAGAGGGTTACTATTTACGATTTAATCTGGAGGCCAGGAATGTGCGGCCAGCCATGATGCATCTACGCTAGGGCTCCTCAAAACTTCTTAAATTGAGGATCACTTCAGGGCCCCTCAGACTATTGGGGGACAAGATTACAGTTTAAAAAGAACAGGACTGAATTCCTATGCATGCTGAACATCTCTTCTTTGTCATGCAAAAAATCTATTTTATTTTATTTATTTTTTGTCGTGTCAGGAGCAACTTGAGAAACTGCAAGTCGCTTCTGGTGTGAGAGAATTGGCCATCTGCAAGGACATTGCCCAAGGGACACCCGGATATGTTTGATGTTTTACCATCTTTGTGGGAGGCTTCTCTCATGTCTTCGCAAAAAATCATGAAAGAGCAACACAATATTTAAAATGAAGAACAATTCTAGCCAACATAGGACCCTTCCACATAGCCCTATATCCCAGAATATCAAGGCAGAAGATCCCACATTATCAGAATGTGGACTCAGATAACCCAATTCAAAGCAGATATTGTGGGATTTTCTGCCATTATATTCTGGGATATAGGGCTGTGTGGAAGGGCCCAAAAACTAATGACTATTTCATAAGGCGGTGTGGGCCTGCTTTTGGTTGATCCGACAGTTACGGTCTCCTCCATATCACCCAGAAACAAGGCAGAAAAATCTCACAATATCTGCTTTGAACTGGGTTATCTGAGTCCACACTCAGACTAAAATCCCACATTATCTGCTTTGAACTGGAATGTATGGCAATAAATTCCAGTTCAATGCAGATAATGTGGGATTTTAGTCAGCTGTGTGGATGGGGCCTAAATTAATTAGGGACCCTTCCACACAGACCTACATCCCAGAATATCAAGGCAAAAAATCCCACAATATCCCACTCAGATAATGGGATTTTCTGCCTTGATATTATGGGATACAGGGCTGTGTGGATGGGCCTCAAGTCATTTCAGACTGAGGGTAACTCTAAGTCAATAAACTTTAGGGCAGGAGCCAGAGAAATGACCTTGGAGGGCCGCATCCAGCCTGTGGGCCTTGGTTTGGAGACCCCTGTCTCAGGGCCCTTCCACACAGCCATATAACCCAGAATAACCAAGCAGATCATCCACAATATCTGCTTTGAACTGGGTTATCAGAGGCCCTTTCCACACAGTTGAATAAAACCCCACATGTTCTGCTTTGAACTGGATTATATGGCAGTGTGGACTCAGATAATCACTTCAAAGCAGATATTGTGGGATTTCCTGCCTTAATACTCTGGGTTATATGGCTATGTGGAATGGCCCTCAGTCCACACTGCCATATAATCCAGCAGTTCAATGTCCATTTTATACAGCTGTATGGAAGGGCCTTAGAGAATGGTTTCCAGACCGTTTACTATTATGGTCATCACCCTTGCCTGGTATGCCAAAGTTTCCATTATTTTGTGAAGCTGTAGTAGGATGAAGGCTGTGAGGCATCACTCCAAGTGCCTTAGCTCACTATGGGATCTTGGGAGCTTTAGTCCGGCGAGGCTCCAGACCTTTTGGGCAGCGAGAAAAGTCCTTATATAACTACAACTCCCAGGACCCCAGAGCCTTGAGCCATGACAAGGACTGCCTTCACCTTACACAGTGCTGGGCAAGAGGGTCAGGGATGTTGCCTGCCCAGGTGAGGGCAAGTAAGGGATGTTGCCTGCCCTGCCTTCACCCTACACAGTGCTGGGCAAGAGGGTCAGGGATGTTGCCATTGTGGGAACTGACCTCCAAAACACCTGGAAGGCTGAAGTTTACATTATTTCGCGAAGCTGTAGTAGGATGAAGGCTGTGTGGCATCACTCCAAGTGCCTTGGCTCACTATGGGATCTTGGGAGCTGTAGTCTGGCAAGGCTCCAGACGTTTTGGGCAGAGAGAGGAGTCCTTATATAACTACAATTCCCAGGATCCCAATGCCTTGAGCCATGACAAGGACTGCCTTCACCCTACACAGTGCTGGGCAAGAGGGTCAGGGATGTTGCCTGCCCTGCCTTCATTCTACAGAGTGATGGGGCAAGAGGGTTAGGGATGTTACCTGCCCAGGTGAGAGCAAGTAATGGATGTCACCTGCCCTGCCTTCACCCTACACAGTGCTGGGCAAGAGGGTCAGGGATGTTGCCATTGTGGGAACTGACCTCCAAAACACCTGGAAGGCTGAAGTTTACATTATTTCGCGAAGCTGTAGTAGGATGAAGGCTGTGTGGCATCACTCCAAGTGCCTTGGCTCACTATGGGATCTTGGGAGCTGTAGTCTGGCAAGGCTCCAGACGTTTTGGGCAGAGAGAGGAGTCCTTATATAACTACAATTCCCAGGATCCCAATGCCTTGAGCCATGACAAGGACTGCCTTCACCATACACAGTGCTGGGCAAGAGGGTCAGGGATGTTGCCTGCCCTGCCTTCATTCTACAGAGTGATAGGCAAGAGGGTCAGGGATGTTGCCTGCCCAGGTGAGGGCAAGTAAGGGATGTCACCTGCCTTGCCTTCACCCTACATAGTGCTGGGCAAGAGGGTCAGGGATGTTGCCTGCCCTGTCTTTACCCTACACACTGATGGGCAGGAGGGTCAGGGATGTTGCTTGCCCAGGTGGGGGCAAGTAAGGGCTGTTTCCCTGCCTTGCCTTGGCTCTTGCCCTGCCTGCCCTTACCTCTGCTCCTGGCTCTGCCGGAGAAGACGGACCGGATGGGGTGGCGGGCTTTGTGGAGCTTGCGGTGCCAGCTGCAGAAGAAGAGGATGGTGGCCACGGTGCCGAGCAAGAGGAGCAGGAGGAGCAGGGCGCACTGGATGCTGTACGGGCGCAGCAGGACCAGGAAGGCGGCGGCGATCATCTTGGATGGAGGGCTGGGGGCCGCTCGGCTGAAGAAGAAGAAATCCCCGGGAAGGGAGGCAAGAGAGGACGGCGAAGGGCACGCTCGCCTCTGCGGAGGCTTGGAGGAAGGAGGAGGAGGAGGAGCCTTGTGGCCCTTGTGGCAAGAGGAGGAGGAGGAGGAGGAGGGCTAGGGAGGCTGCTGCCGCAAGGCTCCAAGCGGAGAGGGCTCAGCGGGAGAGGGACCCCCAAAGCATGACGAAGCAAGGGGTTTCCTCCTCTGCGCGCCAACGAGGAGGAGGAGGGGCTGCTGCTGCTGCTGCTCTAGCCCTGCCTGGAGACAGCGGGAGCATCCGCACCGAGGCTTGGGCTGCAATGGCTCAAGGCGGTGGAATCATTGGAGCCGGGCTTCGGATCCCGGAGCGGAGGAGGCGCCAAGCAGAGGGCAAATCCCATCCTCCAATGGCCTTGAGCCCAGAATGCCTCGGTTTCCCTTGAGCCTCCTCCAAGCGGAGTCGGACTGCGCTGATTCCACAGTGCGGATGGGTGGGTGGCGGGTCTGGCCTCGCTTGCAACGCTGCTGCCTCATCCTGTTGCTCATCGTGGTTGGCGATTTGGGGGGAAATGTGGGGAGGATGAAGGGAAAAAGAGGATGAAGTGGGGAGGGGAGCGCTTGGAGTGACATCACAGCTGCAGTGGGGAAAATGGCTGTGGAGGGAAGCAGGGCGCCGCCTGGGTTGCATCTACACGCTGGAGTGAATGCAGATTGAACTAGGGAATCAAGGTTTCATTTACAGGGCCTCTGAGCTTTCCCTGCCACCTCACCAAACTTCACATCCCAGGATCCCCCTAGCATTGAGTCATGGCAGTCCAAGCGATGCCAGGCTGCATTAAGTCTACGATTTGTCATGAATCCACTTTAAATCCGGTTTCTGCCTCCTGCAGAATTCTGGGGTTTGTAGTTTAGTGAGGCTGTTCAAGGCCCCTCCCTAAACTACACATCCCAGGATCCCCCTAGCATTGAGCCAGGGCAGTCCAAGCGGTGCCAGGCTGTATTCTACGATTTGTCATGAATCCACTTAAATCCGGTTTCTGCCTCCTGCAGAATTCTGGGGTTTGTAGTTTAGGGAGTTTGCTCAAGGCTCCTCCCTAAACTACAAACCCCAGAATTTTGCAACCCGATTTAAAAGTGGATTCATTCTCTAGTGTGATGAGGTCCCCAAGTGGTGCCAGACTGCATAAAGTCTACAACTATTCATCACCTAGAGAATGAATCCACTTAAAATCTGGTTTCTGCGTCCTGCAGAATTTTGGGGTATGTAGTTTAGGGAGGAGCCTTGAACAGCCTCACTCAACTACAAATCCCAGCATTCTGCAGGAGGCAGAAAACCGGATTTTAGGTGGATTCATTCTCTAGTGTGAAGAGGTTAGTAGATGCACTTCAGTGGGTGGTTGTTGTGATTGTTGGCCGTGGGTTTTCCGCGCGCGCGCTCCTTCCTCTGCCCTGCCCGGGCTCCTGGTTGCAAGGCTTGGCAGACGTCATGCTTCCTCTCCCACGCCTTGACTGTCCCACGCAGGGACAGGCTGCAGATGTCTACCACTCCCTTTGATCCCATAGCATTAGCAAACGGCATTCATTCTACAGTCTAGACCAGGCCTGGGCCAACTTCGGCCCTCCAGGTGTTTCGGACTTCAACTCCCACTATTCCTAAGCCTCAGGCCCTCTCCTTTTCCCCCTCAGCCGCTGAAGTGGAAAAGGAAAGGGCCTGAAGTCTGTTAGGAATGGTGGGAGTTGAAGTCCAAAACTCCTGCTAGGCCCACGTTTACCCATGCCTAGTCTAGACGCACCCTTAGACAAGGAATACTAACCAGCATGTAGTTCCTTCCTCTGAAATAGGAGCCCTCATTGATGGGCACCCCATCCAAGTCCTAACCAAGGCTGACCCTGCTTAGCTTCCAAGATCAGAGAGGGAGGTATGCATCTCTGCACTGTGGAATCAGTGCAGTACCTGCCATGGCTCAATGTTATAGGATCCTGGGAGTTGTGCTTTTACAAGGTCTTGAGCCTTCTCTGCCAAAGAGTGCTGAGACCTCACCAAACTACAACTCCCATGATTCCATAGCATTGAGCCAGGACAGCTAAGGCATTCATTCTACAGTGTAGGTGCAGCCATAATCTGGTGCCTTTTAGGGTTTTTTAGGGGCAACGGCGCTCCATGCAGTCATGCCAGCCACATAACCTTGGAGGTGTCTACGGACAACACTGGTTCTTCGGCTTAGAAATGGAGGTGAGCACCAACCCCCAGAGTCGGACACGACTGGACTTAATGTCAGGAGACAGCCTTTACCTTTTAAATACCATAAAATATTAAACCGCTGAGCTGCTGAACTTGCTGAATGAAATGTCAGCAGTTCGAATCCAGTGAGAGGGGTGAGCTCCTGCTGTTAGCCTCAGCATCAGCTAACCTAGCAGTTTGAAAACATGCAAGTGTGAGTAGAACAATAGGTACTGCTTCTGGGGGGAGGTAACAGCGCTTCATGTAGAGGAGACTTATGCAATTATGCTGGCCGCATGACCTTGGAGGTGTCTACGGACAACACCGGCTCTTCGGCTTAGAAATGGAGATGAGGACCAACCCCCAGAGTCAAACACGACTAGACTTAATGTCAGGAAACCTATACTTTTACCTTTAGGGGTGCATTTTGAATCATTACCTCTCTCTTAGACACACACACACAGCCCACCAAACACACACCCAAAGCTGCACCCCCGTATTCCATCTTGTTTTCTGGCTGTTTACATTGCAGTCTTGTGCAGTTTACTCAGAAGCACACTCTACCAGGAAAAGGTGAGCAAAATAGATTCTAGGAGGAGGCAAAATCAATAAGGCAAATTATATTCCCAGAAACTGGAATTTCAGCTTCCTTTATTGGTCCTTTTATTTTGGTTCTAATGGCTGTTCTAGAACCTGCAAACGACCTCCTGTGGTCAGTGCAAATGATTTCTATATATTTGCGTATATTCAGGCATGGGCAAACTTGGGCCCTCCAGGTGTTTTGGACGGCAACTCCCACAATTCCTAACAGCCGGTTTAACAGAGGCTGTTAAACTAAATTTAATTCCAAGTTGTAGTCTGTATATATTATAATGTATATGTGATCGGGGCACTACAGTGGAAGTATATATGTTATTATTTAGAAATAAGCCCCATTGCATATAATTTAGCTTTCTTCCTTATAAAGATACTAGCTGTGCCCTGCCACGCGTTGCTGTGGCCTATAGTAAAACTTATCAAAGTTGAGGTAGATATCTGGACTATTATGAAAGAGAGGTCCCTACCTATTCCTTCCCCCTTTTCCTCCCCCTTTCTCTCCTTTCTTCCTTCTCTACCTCTTTCTTTCTTTCCTTCTTTCACTACTTGGTTTCATCCTTCTCTCTTTCCTTCATTCCCTCCCCTTTCTTCCTTTGCCTTTCTTCCCTCCCTGTTTGCTTCCTTCTTTCACTTTTTATTTCCTTTTATTTCACCACCATCATAACAATAACAATAATGCAATGCATTGCCTCTGGGACCTGACACCTCTCCCATTCCCCCTAAAAGGGTCTCATAGGAACAATAGCATCATAATAATAATAATAGAAATAACAACCTTTACCCGCCACGTGTTGCTGTGGCCAATCTTCCCTCTTTCTCTCCTTCTTTCCCTCCCTCCCTCCCTCCCTCCTTCCTTCCTTCCTTCCTTCCTTCCTTCCCATCTTTCCTTCTCCTCTTCTTTCTCTATCTCTTTCCTTCCTTCCCCCTTTTTTGTTCTCTTCTGCTGTCTCTCTTTTCTTTCCTTCCATCTTTCCTTTTCTTTCCTTTTCTTCTTCCTCTAACTTTCCTTCCTTCCCCCTTTTTCTTTACCTCCCTTTCTCTTTCTTCCTTCTTTCCTTCCTTCCTGTCTTTCCTAGATTTTGACAGGGCGGGAAGGGGCGGGGTGGGGTTTGGAGGTGGCCTGAAGTAAAAGGAGGTAAGATTGGGGCAGGGGAGGGATGGAGCGTGGGGTTGCGTGTGTGTGTGCGGCGGCGGGGGGAGTGATGGAGCGTGGGGTTGCGTGTGTGTGTGTGCGGCGGCGGGGGGAGTGGGGTTGCGTGTGTGTGTGTGGCGCGGGGGGAGTGGGGTTGCGTGTGTGCGTGCGGCGGCGGGGGAAGTGATGGAGCGTGGGGTTGCGTGTGTGTGTGCGGCGGCGGGGGAGTGATGGAGCGTGGGGTTGCGTGTGTGTGTGCGGCAGGGTGTGTGTGTGTGCGGGAAGCGGCGCGGCGGGGCTTGGAGTGGGCATGGTTTCCGCAGAGGGAACGTTGGCCGGAAGGCCATGTGCGCGCGCGATGGAACTTGCGGCTGGGTGCCAATGCGCATGCTCAGTTGTTTTGCCGTTTTGTGAGTGTGTTGTGTTGTTTTTCATTTTGAGTAGATATGTTTGTACCTTGTGGGTTGTGTTATGGGCATGGGAATTTTGGTTAAGTTTCGTTGGGGTTTTTTTGAGTTTTGTTGTTTTGCCGTTTTGTGAGTGTGTTGTTGTGTTGTTTTTCATTTTGAGTAGATATGTTTGTTTGTGTTGTTTTGCCGTTTTGTGAGTGTGTTGTGTTTTTTTTCATTTTGAGTAGATATGTTTGTACCTTGTGGGTTGTGTTATGGGCACGGGGATTTTAGTTAAGTTTCGTTGGGGGATTTTTGAGTTTCGTTGTTTTGCCGTTTTGTGAGTGTGTTGTTGTGTTGTTTTTCATTTTGAGTAGATATGTTTGTACCTTGTGGGTTGTGTTATGGGCATGGGAATTTTGGTTAAGTTTCGTTGGGTTTTGAGTTTTGTTGTTTTGCCGTATTGTGAGTGTGTTGTTGTGTTGTTTTTCATTTTGAGTAGATATGTTTGTACCTTGTGGGTTGTGTTATGGGCATGGGAATTTTGGTTAAGTTTCGTTGGGGTTTTTTTGAGTTTTGTTTTTTTGCCGTTTTGTGAGTGTGTTGTTGTGTTGTTTTTCATGTAAGATGTCGCTACCTGCGGGTGGTTAGGGGCACGGGGATTTGATTGAGTTTTGTTGTTTTGCCGTTTTGTGAGTGTGTTGTTGTGTTTTTCATTTTGAGTAGATATGTTTGTACCTTGTGGGTTGTGTTATGGGCATGGGAATTTTGGTTAAGTTTCGTTGGGGTAGTTTTGTTGTTTTGCCGTTTTGTGAGTGTGTTGTTGTGTTGTTTTTCATTTTGAGTAGATATGTTTGTACCTTGTGGGTTGTGTTATGGGCATGGCAATTTTGGTTAAGTTTCGT